AAAAAAAAAAAACAAAAAAACAAGAAATAAAAAAGAAAGAAGAAAAAAGAAAAAAAGAAAAAAGAAAAAATTTAAAAAGAAAAAAAAAAAAAAGAGATTTAATTTTTAGTTTTAATAAAAAAAAGGCACCATTTTTTTTGAGCTTAGGCTTTTTTATTTTATTTTATTTTATTTTTTTACTTATTTTATATATATGAAAGAATGGTTCGATACGATAAAAAAGATTTAATTGATTTAAAGAAAGCGTCAATATGGAAAAATTGGATTATGATTGCTTTGATATTAATTTTTGGATTTGTAAATGTTAATGCAGAACGTAAGTGAATTTTTTTAATTATTTTTTATGCCAGAAGTAATTCGCGGAAATTATTTTAATACGTATCCCTTTTTTTTTTTTCATAGAAAGGTGTTGTTTTAGCACAAGTTCACAAATGAGTAGTACATCAGCAAATACGTATAAATTAAATGTAACAGCTTCACACGTAGATTCAAAAAAAGGTGGTAACTTATATTATGTGGCAATATCATTTCAACCAGGATATAGTGTAATTGGTGATCCATATTCACCATTTAGTAAAGTAACATGTACACTAACGTCAGGAGCAGTACCACAATATAATTGTCAATCAAGAGATACAAAAACTTTTTTTATCGAATTTGATTTATCTATACAACCTACTCCTCCACCAAATTCAACTATTACAGCTTCTTCAGTATTCATCTTTAGTGATAAATGTCAAAATGTAGCTTTTTGTACTGATTTGGCTGAAAAAAGTGAATCTCAAGATAATGACAAAATTTCTTTAGGTCCACTTGGTACTTGGCCAAAATATGCTATTATAATTGGTGGTGTTATCTTAGGTATAACTTTATTAGTTGCTTGTTATTTAGTTTATAGGAGAAATAGACCTGATGATAGTTATAGAGATAGAAGTATTACACCAGGTACCGGTTATAATGATAAAAATAGGATATTTGCTCCTAATTCTTTATTAAGAAATGATGGTGATGATGATTCCCCTCCTCATAACGAACCTCCAAAGAATACTTTAATACAATTTGGTAATGTATCAGCTCATTCTCCTGAAAGATCAAAAAGTGTAAAAAGTGTTAAAAATAGAAATCATCAATCTACTACTACTTTATCAAAATCTTCTACTACTAAAAAGAAGAGAGATGATGATGCTATTGTTGATAAAATTCCATCCGTTATTATTGATATGACTAATAATAATAATAATAATAATAATAATAATAGTAGTAATAGTAATAGTAATATTGGAAATAATAATTTGGAAAGATCAAAATCTCATAAATCTCGAAGAAGTAATAATAGTAAAGATAATAATAATGTAAATAGATTATCAGGTTATTCAACTTCTGATATGTCAAAAACAATTTCAAATAATGATATTAGTGATCGTGAATTAAGTGATAATAATAATGATGAACTTTCTTCTTCAAATAAAAATAAATATTCAACTTCACTTCATCGATCAAAATCAAAATTAAGAAATAGTGTTGAAGAATCAAGAAATGATAGGAGATCATCTAATAATAATCATAATAATAATAATAGTCAAAATAATAGTAGTAATAGTAGTAGACCACATAGGCGTTCCACTTCAAAAGGTGTTGAAGAAGATCGTGATGGTCATAAAATTGATCGTACTAATTCAAGAAGACATCGCTCACATTCTGGACATAGACGTTCTACTTCGAAAGGTGTTGAAGAAGATCGTGATGGTCGTAAAATTGATCGTACTAATTCAAGAAGACATCGCTCACATTCTAGAAATAGATTTTCTACTTCAAAAGGTATTGAAGAAGATCGTGATGATCATCGTTCTAATTCAAGAAGACATCGCTCACATTCTAGACTGTCTCTTATACACATCTAGATGTGTATAAGCGAAAGGTGTTGAAGAAGATCGTGATGGTCGTAAAATTGATCGTACTAATTCAAGAAGACATCGCTCACATTCTAGAAATAGATTTTCTACTTCAAAAGGTATTGAAGAAGATCGTGATGATCATCGTTCTAATTCAAGAAGACATCGCTCACATTCTAGATCAAGAAAGAATTCATCACCACCACCACCAGTATCAAAAAGTACGAGTGATTTACATAAAAGTTTATCTACTAGAACAAGACAGATGGATCGTGATTTAACAAGTAAAAATAAAAAATCTTATTCGGATGATAAAGAAATGGGAAAAAACAATCGTTCTAGTAGTAATTTAGATAAAAAAAGGAGTATTAAACATAAAGATTTAATTTCTAATGCTGATACAGAATCGACAACTTCTTCTTCAGATATTCCATTAGGTGATAGATTACCTTTAGCTATGTTGGTAACAAAATTACCATCATCAGGACAATCAAATTCTCGAAAACCTGATAAAGTGATTGTTGAAGAAGATGAAGATACAACTCCTTTAGGTCGAATCGGTTCTTTTGGTGCAACATCAACATCATCACAATCCCGTTTGCTATCAACTGATAAATCATCGAATAAACAATCATTAGAAGATGATACAAATGATTTTTATGATTCAATATTGAATGAAGTACTGGGTATTGCCGATTATCAAAATACTGAAGATGACAAAAGTTCCGATGATGATAATCCTATAGGAAAAAGTTTACCGAATATTAAATTTAATAAAGAAAATGATGAAGAAATACCTATTGGTAAATTAAGGAGTGGCTAAAATATAAAAGTAGATTTTTAACTTAATTATTTATTTCTTTTATTTCCTTTACCTTTTTTATTTAAATATCGAACCATTATTCCAATTAAGATATTTCATTTAAGCAATTTTAATTGCATATTTTTTTTTTATTATTATTTTGCTACCGTGGAGATTTTTTTTTTTTTTTTTTAAAATTTCCTTTTAGGTATAAATATAAATTTAATTCTATTTTTAGAAATGCCATTATACTAAATATGTTAAAGAACGACATGCAAATTAAAAAAAAAGAAATAAAAAAGGAAATTCGAAAGATTATATATATTTAGATCATTATATTAAATTCAATAAATTCATAAATATTAAATTCATAAAATATTAAAAAAAAAAAGAATTTTTTTTTTTTTTAATTTGCATTCAAAGTAAAGAATGGAGTTATTTTAAAACAATTAGGACCATTAGCTGTTGAACCCCAACTTCTTAACAAAACTTCAGCAGGTAATTTTAAATAATCGGGAGCCGCAATTTCTACGATTTGCGTCGCTGTACCATCCGGATTAAAAGATTTTTCACCTTCCCATAATACGTTCAATAATCCTTTATCATTAAATAATTCAACATCGTTTATTTTTACTATTTCTGAGTTTCCTTTTTTCCAATTTACTGTTATTGTTGTAGAGTTTGTCGCTGGTGTACTTCCTGAAGGTAAAGTGATTTCGAATCCTAATTAATCAAAGAAAGAAAAAAGGAAATTTTAGAAATTAATTAAAACAAAAAATGATAAAAATAATGAGAAATTCAAAAGATCTTTACCATCACAGAAATTATCTAAAGATAAAATAAAAGAAAAAATAAGATTGATTAGTAAAATAACATATTGTATATGTATAATATATATATTTTAATTCAAAAAAAAACTTACCTCGTTTATTATTAATAGCGACAGAATTCACTTCAGTAAACATATTGATCAAGGAATATAACAAAACAATCGTAACAAAAAAATTCAATTTTGTGAAAGAAATCATTTTGTTTTATTTTTTCTTAAGAAATTTGTAAATAAGAAATGTTTTTATTTTTCTTTTTAATGAACTTTTGAATTCAAAAAATATGAAGAAAATTTCTCTCATATTTATATTTAAAATTTTTGGATTGTACGATATATTTTTATTTTTATTTTTTGTACGATGCCAAATATAGAGCCATTGAAAGTGTTACATACATGGAAGTGTACATGACAGAAAAAATAAGGAGATGGAAGATACTTGATTTTTGTACTGTACTTGTACTTATCTATTATTATAAGTATTCTAAAAAAAAAAATGCGGAGGTTTTAAAAAAAGGAATAATTCATCCTCCTTAATTATTGATATGAACCGAATAAAGTAAAACACATTGTTTTTCAATATGTATATTCTATAATTATTATTTGTATTTTTAAAAAAGAATAATTAAAAAAAAAAATCTATTATAAATAATATAAGGCTGTGCATGATCTTACGCGTGCATATATTACTTCTTTATATATTTTTATGGCGTGATATGCAACCATAGCCACTTCAAACAACGATCATGATCGATCACACCATTTATAAATGTTGTAAAACTGATTTGTTAAATAATTATTGGTTAAACTCTATTCTAAATATTTCTAAATGATGTAACGGGGGACGAGGGACGGGGTAATTGAAATCATGTGTTTAAAAAAAAAACTGCGATGTCCAGTGTCCATGTTATTTTTAGATGTTCGAAATTCCCTGTAAAAAAAGTCGATCCGTTTTTTTATATTTCATCATCTTTTTTTTCCGTAAAAGGCTCATATTTCCGGAATTAATAACATTACTTCACGGAATTTGTCGCATTTTCCGTGAATGGACGGAATTTATTTTTTATAGAAATTTATTATACAGCCTAATAGAAAAAATTAGACTTTTTTATATAAAAACTATTAAAATTAGGTATGATCTCGGGGTTGAATGAACATCCCCTATGGGGGTGACCGACTATGATCTTTTCGCCAAGAAATGAATTATCTTAACAAAATTGGTTATATTGGGCGTTTTCACAAAATAAATTATTGAGATTATATTGAGATTAAAGCTTAATCTCAAACTAATCATGATTGTGAAATTTCAATTGAGTTAAAGATTAGGAACAAAAAGTCAAATGAACCACTAGATGCATCAAAATTACAAGTTTGAATTATCTTAGAAGGAAATTATGCATAAACGTGCATAAATTACATGAATTTGCAATATTTATTTATAAATGCACACGCTGACACGCAAGAAATGAATTTTATGTCACTTTACTAAAAAATTTTAAGAAGTCTGGCCAGCAATCTGAATTCCATGTAAATTAAGATTAAAACGCTAATATTAATCTCAATCTAATCTTAATCCCATTCTCAATCCATCCTCAATCAGAGGATTTAGTGTTGTCCTCAACTTGGTACTTATGAAATTTTTGAATTTGGACCTTTTTATTTACAAGATAAATATTATTCCCAACCATGTGAAAAGTGATTTTGGTACGAAATCTCGAAAGTCATCCTGACAAGTCAAAATCCATTATGCCGACAAGTTGATTATCGTGGCAATTTTATAAAATTTACCACATTTAAACTCAAATATTACATATTGCAACAAATTATTTTATTAGAACACACATCATTAGATTTACAAAATTGTCGATATAACGATTGTCGAGGTCGGGGTCTGGGTCATTTCACCGACAGACGTTCCCCGAGGGGGATCTTGTGTTAGTCGTGCAAGAGATTTTGATCGGATACCGTGAAAAGTACATAATTCGGGTGCTACTAGTCCTACGGGTAGCTATCATAACGACCGACTTAATTTCGTTACTGAGGGTGAATGTGTGTCGAAAGATGGCCTTCAAACCTTCGTTCCAAAGAGGGATATTTCCTTCCGATAGGAATTGATTTCAGTAATGGTTGAGAGTATTAAGAAGGAGTGTTATTACGTTAATTCGAGGTAATTCCTAATACTATTGCTTTAACATGTTTTTAGCAATTTTTTTTGACTGTTTTTTTTTTAACAAATTCAAGTTGTAACGAGAACTAGGCTATTAGATAAATTAACGTACATTAATTATCGGAAATTTAATGATATCTGATATGTTCCTAAATTACTCGAGTAGTTAGTTTTTTTATCTATATTTGTTTGTAATTTCAATGCATGTATTCCTTGATCTTCCCCAGCGTCGCCCCAAGATCTTTCACCCCACGTGACCTGCATAAAATGTCACCCCGCGTCACACCTCACCGTTTTCATTTTTTCATAAGTTATTCTGGGGACTTAGAAAATTTTTAAAATTTTTTTCACTCCCCCTTAAACATCACCGGTCACGTGGGGGTGGAATTTTACTTAGAAATCTTGGGGGTAAATGTATTCCTTGTTAAAAGTCACGTGCAATTACGCAATGTCTGTCTGTGCAACGTAAAATCATATTTAACACTTGCTTTTTCATTTTTTATTTCATATCGGTATCACTCCGGAACCTGAAATTCTATTAAGAATAATTGGAGTATGTTCGTAAAAATAGTTTAGTTTAGATTATATAGTTATTTTTTAGATTTAGATTGAACTTAGTTATAGAGAGTATTATAAAGAAATTTATAATATTTTCTAGGTGTTTAAATAATTATGTAATCAATTGTATAATTGTTCTTAATTAATAAACGCGTTACTATTTAATATATATATATATATATAAAAAGTATCACTCCGGAACGTAACACCATTTTTTTGTCCGAGCCAAATGTCGCGCTATGTTCAACTATCACTCTCAGTTGTTTGATCGAAGGTGAAAACACTTATGAAAATGCTTTTCCGGTTGATATTGATACCAACAAGGGGCATTTCAAGGACGTTATTAAGGGAACCAAAAGCCTTTTTTCGATAACGTTGCGCCCAAAGAACTTAAGTATGGAAGGTCGACATTTCCCTCGAAGAAGAAACGAAAAATTAATCGCCATCAATACAAAAATTTACGTTAATATTAGGGAGGTGCTTGGTAGTGTGAAACTGCTTCCACTTTCGAAAATTAGCAGACACTTTCCCTGATTCTCTCCCAACCAGCCGACGAATACGTCATATTATCGTATAGCGTCCTATTGAGACGAAAGAAGTTCACTGCACCACAGCTTATGAGCGTAAAAGTGTTAATTTTCAATGGACAGTGACTAGAGAAATGGTGATGTTGGAAGGTTTTAAGAAGAAGCTTTGTGAATATTTCACGTTCCCGGATGGGTGCAACAGTAGAAAGCGATACAGTGGAGACTGCAATTTTCTGCTGACGAGGATTTATTGAGATACGTGTAAGTGTCACTAATATACTTTAGGATGATACTTCACATGTCGATCTCATCAAATGTCTGACCCATTAATTTATAGCGCAACAACCTTTCTCTTCGTATACTTTCCCAGAGATGAAAGCGCTCTTTGGCTTGAAGGCCGACGATTGTAATGAATTTCTGGAGTCGGGAGATGAGAAGGAAACGCCAGAAGAAATCTGAAATCTGGTTATTGGTGAATTTTTGTGATTGCACAAGACATCCCAGCACATCACAAGCGCCAATGAAGCCACCCATCACGAAATTATCCGAAATCCGTGAAAGACTGTAAGGTACAAATATGTGGCCTATAAAGAAATCAAGGATGAAAATTAGATTCTATCAGAAAAAGAATTAAAGGAATTATACTCGAATTTTGAATGGTTCTTTGCAAAGACAATTTATGCTAAAGGAAAAAGATTTTTTTTACGTATCAAATGAGGAGATAGGTAATGCGATTGAACGAAGTTTAAAATTTGAAGGTTTGGAAGAAGCTTGGATCATTTCACAAAAGAAAAAAAGTTTCAACAATAATTCATTGGAAAAGATCAAACTTATATTTGAACCTCCAAGTAATAATGTTTCGTTGAATGAAGAGGTTTTGAAGAACAAAGCAAAAGATTGTTATGAAAATGATAAAGAAGGATAAAGGAGAAGGGACATCACAGGTCGTCGATACGACAAATAAATATATTGTTCGAAGAAATACCGAAAATTCGACTGACGTCAAGGATTATACTACTCTGAAGGTGGTAGATATTATTAAGGAGTTCAGGGATGAAAAGATAGTTAAAGAGAAATGAGTGGAACTTATTGAAAAAGAAAGAAGCTAGAAGACGTACGTATCAAGAATGGAATGATGAAGGTAGAATTCGAACGGTATTAATTCGGTTTGCTCTTCGCGTCTACCATTGCAAAAAACTAAAGAGGATGAGGTAGAAAAAAATGTAGACAAATTAATAAAGAAGATGAAGTGGAGAGTGATAAATCGGAAAGTGATAAAAGAAAAGGAAATAAAGTTAATATACGTAGTTAAAGGTGGTAATAAGAATAAGAAAAATAAGAAGAGTGTGAAAAAATAGAGTTCACGCTAAACAATTTTATGAATTTTTTAAACTAGTCAAAAGTTTAGATTAATTAATAGCAAAATTTTTAGTTATTCTGTATGTATACTTTATTATGATGATGCTTAGCGTCAAACATTGTGATCGCGATTATGATCGTAAGTTTCATAATACTAATTGTAAATAATATCTCATAACATTAAAGAATTTGGACGAAGTTACTAACTGTATTCTAATAATACAACCGTTCTTGATAAAGCTAATTATATATAAGAACTATGACAGCCCGCTAACGAAAAGTGCTTAATAAAGAAATTTAGTATGTACATTTAGTATGTACTGTTGAAAAAAAAGTATTAGACTGGTGAGTACTAATATTGACCAACGTGATCAAACATACGCGCGTGCGTAATGGATATGGCGCGTAAACAAGCTTACAAATCTTACATCATACTGACTCACAATATATATGATTTCCCACGAGAAATTATTTATAAAATCGCTTTTTTTTCTCCAAATGTATCATCTCTCTTATCTCTCTTAACATAGGAGCGGCAAGTCTCCTCATATTAGACTTTTAAAAGTTTTAATATTTACTATTGTCTTTAAATATTATTTCTTTTAATATAATATTTTCATTTTCTTCAATATTCGTAATATTTATAATAACTTTCTCAAACTTATATTTTATTTATTTAATATATATAAGGCTGTTCTTATTCCTTTCTGTAAAAAAAAACCTTGGAAGATTTCTATCAATGGTAAGTGGAAATGACTAAGCTGGGATGTATAAGGGATTTGTGCACCTAGAGTGCTTCGGTTATCCTCCTCTTCTAGAAGTTTGGTTACCTTAATGAGAAAATGATAGATAAACAATATCTCAAGCTATGTCGCAGACTTCTGTATGTGGGGCCCTTCCCTTTGGTGGTGGGTCTCATGTCTTATTATCAATATAACAGTACCTCTGCACGAGTTTGATCACTCACGATATATCGTTAATGTCAATTGATAGTAGGCATGGGGGCTTGAATCTGTCTTTTCTACAAAGCTTACTTAGAGTACTCGAGTCTTCTAATATATTTTTCATTTTATTTTTAGATTACTTTAGGCAATAAATAACTTGACCTAACACGTAAGTTTTCCAAATTTGGAGGGGTTAATGTTAAGATCGGCTCATTCCGGTACTTCTGGTATGAAATGTTAGCGTAAACTTTAACGTTAACATTTCAAGCGATCATCAATTTTACCGATCTAATTTTAGCCTCTCCTTTTTTAATATAAACTTTTTAACTTTTAAACAACATAGTGTTATTCTGTAATCCTTTAGTGGTGATAAGCTAGTAAGTACAATGGAAAGTGGTTGTACGAATTTATTAGTATATAATAGAACAAAATTGAATAATTGATGCAGTGAATAATTGATGCAGTGAATAATTGATGCAGTAGTACTTTACGTCCAACCAAACTACCGTCGTTTTTGGATGACGATTGTAAGCGGATATTGATGTAACTAAAGATAAAAAATCGTAATTTTGCTTCCAGATTGAAATAATCAATAGATTTTTAGAAGTTTATTAATTAATACCATCAAAGTAATTTGTACGATCATAAATCAAATTTTTTTCCTTTAAATAAAAAAGCAACTACTTTACAAAAGTTTTATTACTAACCGATAAAAGTCAATCATCTAAATAAATAAATAATTTTTTTTCTTTTTAAAGTACTATAAAATACATAAAAAAAAAATATTTCTAATTCTGCTCTTTTCAAAAACAATAAATAATAAAATTTTAAATAATTAAAATAATTAAACAAATCGATTAATATTGAATTTCATCATTTTTGTTTATCACGATGAGATAATTTCATGGCCAAGAAAGCAGCGGCAGCCCAACCAATAGAAATTATCCCAATATTTCTCAAACAGATTGGAAAATCCGAGAATTTGTAAGTATTACTTAATGGGGCAGAATGTATCTCATACCATCTAAGAATAATAAAAAATGAAATTTTTTTTTTTAAAAAAATTTATTTACCCGTAAATATGTTTAAAATGTATAATTTTCTTTATTACTTACTTTCTCGGATCAATTTCTTTAAGATACAAAGCTTCAATTTCCCATCTTGGAGCAGACATTGCCCAAAGCCATCGAATATAAACGTAGCTATCATTATTCACAACTTCATCTAATTTTGGATTAGCACCAGAAAGTACTAATCCCCATCCGAGTGCAAAGCCAGTACCGATCAATCCAAGTTTTTCTAAAATCGTATAAAACAAAAATTGAAGATTTATTTTTTCTTAAATAAAATGAAAATTCTTTAAATTACCTTTGGTAACAATTGCTGACAAGAAATAACCTATATGAATTATATGATTAAAAATATTAGGCGTGATTTAATAAAATATGAAAAATAAAAACTTCAATATGTACCCATTGTCCATGCAGCTAGATAAGATAACAGAACAATAAGATATAATTCAAGAATTAAAGATCTATAAGGATAAAATAGAATAAATGAACATGTAAACATAGCTGCTGCTATGACTAATCTTGGAATGTCCGCGATGAACTTTGCAAGAAAATATGGAATCGTTCGCATTCCTGCTGCTGTGTCACGCCAGTATACCACTTTTTCGTAACCAAAAGTCGAACCACCGGCTAAAAAAAATGAAGGTTTATGAGTTAATACTATTATTTAATGTCCAGATTTTGTTCTGTAATCGTCTAGTATTCATCCGGAAATCTAGCATCCTTTTTTCCTTCAGATATACTGGGCTACTCGTAAATATTATGCACATACCTGAGATTCCAGCAAATGTTACACCTAGAGCCATGAAAGTTCCAACTTGCTATGTAATTATATTATTATTATGTCATAAAAATATTTAAAAATTCAGTCACTGTAAATTATCATTATTACCTGTAAAGAATCTTTTGCCAAAAAACAAGCTGGTGCAATGACAACAGGCGTTACACTACAAAGTTCGCTAGGGGCCTTTCCAATGTATGTAAAATTACTAACAGCAAGAGAAATAAAAGCACCACATCCTAGATGTAACAACTGGTCCAACAAAAATTGTGTCCTATTTCTATAAAGCTGTAAACAAGCTCGTTTAAATAATAAAGTAAATGCTATAAAAACGTTTGGAGTGTCTCGAATTGGATCTTTCACACAACAAAGGGCAATTCTTTTTATAAGATCAATAAATTCTAACAATACATCAAGAACATAATGAAAAATATCTTGTAAGAGTTGTATAAATGGAACATGAAATGCTAAGAAAGCAAATTTGATTTTTTGTCCAAATGTTGTTGATGATGGTTTCTCAGCACCCACATCTAATTCAACATGAGCACTTTTTCCTTTTTCGTGAGGGATGGCTTTTCCTCCCTTACAATATTCTTCCCATGCTCTAAATAGGTCTATGTCAGTTCCTTCAGACGATTTAACTTTACCGGACGCAACTTCCATCATAAAGTCAGCTGGACTAAAATAAAAATTAATGAATACGTAAAATAATTTTTAATAATTATTAAGTACGCTCACAAGTTACCTTTCTTGAGGTGGACAATTGTAGCCAAGGTTACTAAAATATTCCAACGCTCTATCACGCGGACCAAAATAAATAATTTTTCCTCCTTTACCAAGAAGAAGGAAGTCATCGAATGTTTCGAATGCTTGTGGACTTGGACTATGAATCTTTGAACGAAATAATGATGGAATAATTAAATTAATTTATATGACTGAGAAAACAACAGTTTCTTGGTATTATATATAGATATATATATATTTGGAGAAATTATTAGCTGTTAGCTATATCTTTATATTTTTGAAAGTTAGTACTTACAACAGCCGCAACCATAAGTCCTTGATTATGAGCAACATTTTTTAATAGAGTACAGACTTCAAATGCAGTTGATGAATCAAGACCAGATGTTGGCTCGTCCTAAATAAGATTATGAAATTTAGAAAAGCGGTTATAGATTAATATCTAAATCCAATCATCTAAACTCACCAAGAAAAGAATTGATGGTTCGGCTACGAGTTCCATTCCAATATTAACGCGCTTACGTTGACCACCAGAAATACCTCTTTGTTCTATTAGATATAAATAGTGTTAATAATAATAATACAAAAAAATAAAATAATACAATAATCACACCTTCATCTCCAATTATTGAATCCATGACATGACTTAATTCTAAGAATTGTATAGTTTCAAGTACTCTTTGTTTCTTGGTAACGCGATTCATCTCTGTGGGCAGGCGCATCATTGCAGAATGCTATGTGAATTTATATAGCATGTGAATTTTTGAATTTATTATTCTTTTTGAACGTTAAAAGTTTTGAGCTTACCACCAAAATTTCACGTACAGTCAACTCTCGAAGCATAACGTCTAACAAATATAAAATAGAATGAATTACCTTTAACAAATTTTGTAATGATTACGTGAATATATTTGAAATCGACAAACCTTCTTGGGGCACAAAACCTATAAGCTTACGATAAGTGCTTAAATTTTCCTCCACACCGTTTACTTTATTTATGGTATATCATAATTAGTAATATCATTTAGTAAATAATAATTGAAAACTTTATTTACCTTTTATAATACCACTTGTCTTTTTTGCTTTACCAGTCAAGAGGGAAACAAATGTAGTTTTTCCAGCACCTGAAGGACCCATAATCGCACATGTTCTGCCGTGCGATAATTTTCCTATGAATTTTGATTATATAAGCTTTACATATTTAGATTTTTTTTTTAAAGCTGACATTAAATAATTTTGTATATATTACCTGTCACTCCCTAAAAAAAAACAAAAGAAATTATTGTTACATTAAAAAAAATGATTTTTTATTATATAATATAAATATTTATCCTAGTTTTTTACCTTCATAATCGTGATACCAGAAGGTAAAACCAATCCAAGATTTTCAAATTCAATATCAAAAGTTCTTTTCACAGGTTGCAAAGACATTTCATGACTCATTTTCTGTTCGTTTAATAATCTATTATATTTAGCCGTTTTCAAACGATCCGCTTTATTTTTTACCGCGAATAATATAGCAATTACGATAGCCGCAAGGATAACTAATGCGACAATGTAATATCTGTTGGCACTTTTTGAGCCTGTGAATAGTACGTTGAGTGCGTTGATAAAATGTTTGTTAATGAAGTTGTGAAAGAAAATACAATATTCAAAAAATGAAAAAACAATCACCTTCCGCACAATAAGCTAAATTGTGACATGATATCGGTGAAACACTTCCAAGAGAACAAAAATGGCCTGATAAATTGAATAAAATTTCTAAGTATACTATAAATTTTTTTTAAAAAAAAATGACGAAAAAATAAAAGTACGCACACCTTTAGGACAAGGGTGTATTTCCGTCGCATCTTCGTTACAGTAATAACCTGCGCAACAATACATGGGTTGTGCTACATTTTTGTAAAGAACTCGAAATGAATATGGTTTTATTTATTTAAATAAGAATTTTTTTAACGCAGTAAATTTAATTACCCGAATTTTCCGGACATATGAAACCTGATAGAAAAAATAAATTTTAATATTACGCAAATAAAATAAAATATATTGTGTTATGAAAATGATAACTCACCCGCTGTACATTTCACTAGAAGATTAAAGAAGTTGGTTTATTTATTTTTATAAAAAAATTTATTGACGAAAAAAAAAAATCTTACCAGACTTTTCCGGACCCATACAGAAATTACTAAAAAATCAAAAAAATTAACACGTCAAATATATGCATATAATTAAATGATTAATTATATTACGTACCCAGCTGTACAATTCCATGTAACTGTGTGATTCGTATTAGGTATCACCTTCCCATCTTCCGGTTGTGGAGTTGATAAGTACCAACATTGGCCACTACTGTTCTGAATAGACAGTGGAATTAAAAAAAAAAATTAATCAATATTTTTTTCAATTTCGTGTGAAACCTAAATGTTTAAATTTGATACGCGTGTTAATAAAATTTAATAAGAATATAATAATAATTACTTCGGCACCAGGAATAGTTTTATTTGATAGTAACGCAACATAGTTAACCGGATCTAGTAAAGACAAGATTTCATCTTGAGACTTAGGAGTAGGCGTAGCATTGGGTACAGTAGTTGTTGGAATTGCTGGAGCACTTTGTGCATTAGCGATTGACGAGGTCATTAATAATAAATAACATATTAAATATATTGTGGACAGGTAAGTCCATCTTAGATTATTTTCAAACATTTTTTTTCTTAATGTTTTTTTTTAGAAAAAAAAGAAGATAGGAAAAAGGAGGATGAAACTCGTATAAAGTCATTTCGCCACACGAATGTTAAATATCCAAGAAAAAAAAAAAGATAAACATGGCTGTGGACTAATTTATTAAGATAAAACAAAATCACTATTGAGGGTAAGTTCATAAATGAAATTCTAAGCCAATGCTGTGCTTAACCGAAGATCAATTGTAATACAATTATCTAAATGAAGTTAATTCATTCTATAAGTTAATTTCTAAATAAAGTTTAGCAAAATAATGACAATCGATCACAGTATCTAAATAGGTCAAATCATTCCATAAGTTAATTTCTAAATAAAGTTTAGCAAAATAATGATCCCAGTATCTAAATAGAGTTAAATCATTCCATAAGTTAATTTCTAAATAAAGATTAGCAAAATAATGACAATCATTGTGAGGCTTTATATGCAAGCCTCACACGATTAGATTGATTTAATAATTATAATTGTTTCAAATATAAAGCAAGAATTTTTTTTTTTTTTTTTAAAAAAAAACATAACTCTATTTAACGGATGTCCTAGAGACGTCTACATTGTAATAGCCCATAGCACAATTGCGTGCTCGCGTTAGAATATTAATAAAGTATCTCTAATTAATAAAATAACAAAATTCTAACGAACGAACGCAATACCTACCACAATACTTTACCAAAACTCTTCCTAGAAGAATTTTTTAATTTTCCGTCACAGAATCTAGCAGCAAATCCTATATGAGTTCTATCTCTATGCTGTGTTATAAAAAACACCTAACGGGTATGTAAATAACTAATTTAGCGATGAAACTAAACTCAACCCCTGCTTTATCATAGTCATTGAATTAATGAATGATTTTCATAATTTAATACATTTATAGAAAATTAAATGAAATAAATTCGCTATCATTGAAATAATGATTTTCATCCAGAATTTTCTTATTTAGATTTATGTATATATTTATATTTTTAATCTATTTTAAGAGTAACTTTAAAACTTCTAATCAATCTTTATTTTCTTCTAAATAGTACATTACCGCTATTTGTTTATTTAAGATATTATTGTTGTATTTAATTATAGTAATATATTGATTGAAGTTTGCTTCAATATCGCATAATAGTATGTATCTAACTTTCTTTTTCTCAGAAAAACTTTTTCACTTGGTATACTGTACGTACGGTATTTAATTGATTTACTTTTTTTCTTCTTTATATCGCGTTGTAATGATAAGATAACATCGTTAGAGAATATTTAAAATCATATCAAATAAAATGAGTAATTATTTTTTATAATTAAAATTTTATTAATATTATAAAGTTGCTCACATTTGCGTATGTACAATAACTTATAGAAAGTGACTTCGATATTATGAGTAGTTATAATAATTAAATAACATAAGTATGTTAATTTAACCTTGTTTTTTTAAAGAGATTTATTTGTCTGAAAAATATTTAATTATGAAGTAGTCATAATAATAAGTAATTTACTAATAGACAATGTAAAAATACTCAATACAATAAAAATAAAAATATGAAAAATAAAAATATTGTTTCAATGTTTTGGACAATTATATTTTATTTCTCCTGCTGTAAATAAAAAATAAAATAAATTATTTATTAAGTATCGTAAATATTATAAAAATAAAAATAAATGACATTTACAAATACTTACATCATCATTTATCTTCAATTTAGAAATATCAATTTGTAAAGTTATTTTACACTTAACGAACCGATAATTAACGTGAATATGTTTAATATAACAAAATTATTAATTACTTGAGTATTCTTTGCTTATTATATCGTCATATAGGTTGTAATAATCATCAGAATTTTTTGATTCAGGAAGATTATTAAAATTAATTAACCTGCTTGTATAAATAGCTCTCGAGTGTGTTTTATATGATAAGGGTGAACTAGTTGAAGATATAGAACTATCGCCTAATATTTTATTATTAATTTCTTTCGATTCTTTAATTTTTTGTTTTAGCTCCATCTGACTATTAAATTCAACATACCATGAACATAATATATTCGCAATTTCATCTGCTGTTGGTCGTTTTAGTGGATTTTCATCTAAGCATCTTTTAATTAAATGCACAATTAATTGGGGTACTTCAATATTAAACCTTGGCCTGAGTCCTAGACAAATTTTTATTGCCAAACTTTCATCATGGCTTACATCATGATATGGAGCTAATCCAGAAATTAATTCATACATAATTATACCAAAACTATAAATATCAGCTGCTTTAGTATAATTTCGTCCTCTTAAAATTTCGGGAGCGATATAAGGTAAAACTCCGTATATTTTATTATTTATATTTTCTAATTTGTTATCATGATGATCTGCAGGTCTTCATAATCCCATATCAGTTATATTAGTTTTAGAAGAAAACTTTAATATATTACCATTATGCAAATCTCGATGAATTAATTCTTTCCCATGAACTCTTGCAGGTCCCAATGCAATCCAACATAAATCATTCAACTTATCTTCCCAACCTAATTTATCATAACTTTTACCTAGATAATTTCGTAAGCTTCCATGTTCTGCATATTCCAAAACCATAATATAATTTTTTGTTTCTGGATCTTGAGTTATTCCGTAAAGTTGTGTAGTACAATAAGAAAAATCAGCGTTGTCCCCAATTTTATGATGCAATGTAATCTACATATACGAGTAACATTAGTAAAATATCTTATTATTAATAAATTTTAAATTTAAATATTTAATTTATACCTCATTGATAAATTCCCATGTAACATTTTTTGAATTATTTAAAACTTTTAGAGCTACAGTAATATTGGAATATCGGTCCCAATCTTGATTTTTATTATTCCATTTATATAATCCAATTTGCTCTATACACTTGGCCAAACCCACCTTTTGCAATAAATTTAACATCATAAAATTTATTATAAGGTATCCATTCTAATACATTTTGATAATAATTCACTGATAGTTGAGTATCTTGAATAAATTTGTCGATATTATCATTTCCACTTGTCCAATTTTTAAAATTTTGTTGAAAATGTTTTGCGTTACACAATCTACACCATTCATATTCAGTATTTGTTTGATTACACTCTTCACATGAATTCATGAGTAAATATTATATATTCAATAAAACTTAATTAAATGGATGTAAGAGTTTGCGTGAATAAAATAAGAAAAATGGATACACAGATAAACAGGAAACTCCGATTTTCATGCACAGAATTTACCAGTTTCGGAGTATCGGAGTTTCGGAGTTTCGGAGTTACAGTTTCGTAGTTACAGAAGTGTGGATCCAAGGATCCAAACAATAAAAAATGGTAGTGTATTATTTAAAAATGATCGACATTTCCAGTGCCACCAACCAAGTTACGCATGTAATCCAAAAAAAAAAAGAAAATTCGAAAAATTAGTGCATTATTAGAAAACTTTCAAATAAAATAACGAATTTACAATATATAATATTGTTATAACAATTGTATAACGTTCGGCATGTTAGAGAATTGAGGTAATGATAGTGATACGGCAAATACATTGGTGATACCTTCTCATAGATGAAAAAAAGTCGGAAAAAAAGGAATATATATTTAACCAGTACGGTACGAATTTGCAAACCTGTACGGTACGGTTGATCAATTTTTGTGATAATCATTTCGTACCGTACTAGTTCTATATATAAAGAGATTATTATAGAACCAGTACGGTACGGTACGAAATGATCAACCATAAAATTTGAGTATATAGTAAATTAGTACTGTACGGTAATACAAATTAGTACGGACGTTCAAAAAAAAAATTTAAATTTTTCCGTACTCAGACGGACCTTTAAAAATAAATTTTGATTTTTTCGTACTAATATTTTACATTGTAACATCATGTGATCAAATTTTTGAGATGAATATGTTGTACACAATATTTGAGTAATATAATAATTGTGTAATGATCAATCTGATTAATTTATAAATTTGTAATATAATGATTTTAACGTTCTGTCATCGTAAATATCTCTTTTAATTTTTTACTTCTTTGAAGAAGAAGTTCTGTCATCGTAAATATCTCTTAATTTTTTACTTCTTTGAAGAAGAAGTTCTGTCATCGTAAATATCTCTTAATTTTTTACTTCTTTGAAGAAGTTCTGTCATCGTAAATATCCATATTTTCAATTATTTTTCTTCTTTGGCTTATCTTCAAAGAATTTTTTTAATTTTATAATTTAACATTTAATTTTATAAGATATTTTGTTAAAAACAATATGTCAAAGTTGCACAAAAATACAAAAATGCAAAGTCGTACGATTGTACGAAAACTTAAATTAGTACGAAAATTTTAAAACTTTCGTACGTACTAGTACAAAAAAATTGATTAGCTGTAAATGTACGTACGAACAAAAAAAACACACGTACGTACCAAGTTGCGTTAGCGTACTGTCATNAAAAAATTGATTAGCTGTAAATGTACGTACGAACAAAAAAAACACACGTACGTACCAAGTTGCGTTAGCGTACTGTCATATTTTACTCAATACCTATAAAATTTAACCAACTGTACCGTACCGTACTGGCTCTATAATAATCTCTCTATATATAGAACCAGTACAGTACGGTACGGTTATTGTTTTAAATGGACATTTTGGACATTAGTGTCCAAATTATTAAAATGAACATTTTGGACATTGGTGTCCAAATTACAAAACTAAACATTTTGGACATTGGTGTCCAAATTACAAAAATGAATATTTTGGACATTAGTGTCAAATTGTAAAATTAGACATTGGTGTCCAAATTATCAAAATGAACATTTTGGACATTGGTGTCCAAATTATTAAAATGGACACTGGTGTCCAATTAATTATATGCTAAATGTACCATACTGATTTTCTCTTTATTATAGTGTCAGTACGGTACGGTACGGTCATGTTGATCAAATTTTGTAATTTTGTATGGGGTGATCAACCGTACCGTACAGGTTTGCAAATTCGTACCGTACCGATTATCCTACTACCTGAAAAGAAGTTTACCCGACATTCTGCGACGGTCACGGGATTTACTGTCGATAGACACCAAAGCATTTTTTGATCGAAACTATTTTTAAAGTTATCATTCGAATATATGTTTCATTATTTCAAATAATAAATCAACGCTGAGTATTCACCGCCGAAATAAAGCAACTTATTTAGCTATATGTTCTTAAAGTATATTGTGTAAATATTGCTATGTAAGGTAATATGTATGCGAACATGCAGTAAACGTGAACTTTTCAGATTGGCCGGTTCGCTGTATTTTATCGTTGGTACGATAGGACTTCGAGTTATATATATATAGGTCAGGGGAGATCGGCACACATTTACTATTAGCTCTACGCATTTTTTTTAGGGCCGGCACTATGTAATGCTGGTCGGCATTATCCACAAATGGAAGCGATTTACATTATTTTAGCTTATTCTAAGCAAATAACTAGGACCTGACCTTTCTATGTACACAGTGTAATTCGATATAATGGAACCATCCGTTCCCTTGGTAAAATTTGTCAAAAATCCGTTATATCAAGAATTCCGTTATATCGAGGGTAAATTAATTATACGTTATGATAATCCGTTCCAGACCCAATTCCGGTATATCAAGATTTCACTTATGATCCGTTATATCGAGGTTCCGGTATATCGAATTTCACTGTGTATAGCTCAGGGTCCTTGTACGATCTCTCTGTACTAGCCCCTAGGGGTGACGTACATGAGGATCGCACAACAACAATAATTGTCCGAAGCGTTAACGAAGGACTATTTACTGTACTGAACTAGTTTAACCACCGTTTTTGTCCCTGTCACAATCGACAATTTTATTTCCTTTTTTGAATATATATCACGATTTATGTAACACTACCTATAAATATGCCAATCGAATAAATAAAACGCGAAGGACTACAAAAAACTGAAATTATATATAATGGTTTCTCAACTTAAATGGCTGGTTTAAAAAAAGAACTCCATAGACAATATGGAGAATACGAAAGATGATATAGAAAATAGTGATACAAGTGATAGATGTCCAGAATGTAGTCAAAAGACTAATAATATACTTTACAATTATTGTAAGCCATGCAGCTCGGCCGTCGGCACATTTCAGTAATAATTTTACTCTCTGGACAAGTGGGAATATCAATACAATATTGATGAACTGATTTAAAATTCACAACTTAATGCAAATGATCAATATGAATTAATTGGATGATTTGAATATTCAAATCTTGAAAATGTTTAATTTGTTGCTCATGGTGGGTTGGAACTTGGAAGTGTATATAAAGCTATTTGGAAAGATGGTCCATTTAATACTACTGATTCAGTAAACCTTTGGAATATTGATAATCCAGATGGAATCGGGATAGCAACAAAGTAGTGGCAATAAAAGAATTCCAAATGTGACTAGTGTGAGCCCAGAATTCTTAAATGAGTATATAGTTTAAATAACTACTTTGTAAATAAAATATTGAAATTTACACAACCTAACATTTTATTGCAGGTCAAAAACAACTTGAGATTAAATTACGAAGCACGTTGCAATAGAATTTATGGAGTGACTTGTGATCCTCAAATGGAGAATATGCAATTGTTACTGAATTCCAAAAAGATGGCAATATGAGGGTTGAGGGAGTCCCTATAATGCCAAATGGGGTTAATCATACGATATTTGTTTAGAATTTGTTCGAATTTTATATTATTTTTAGTACAAATTTCGAATAAATGTTGTATAATTAGCCCGTTTGGCACAAATTTAGCACAAACCTTTTTATAGGGAGTTGATTAAAAAAAACCACAGTGTTTTAACCTGGAATTTGATTATTAAAATCATTTGGAATATCAGTGAAGGATTGATGAACATTCATAGTGAAAATTATCATCATAGAGATTTGTAACATCTTAAATACTGCTCTTGATGATAAGATTCATTCTGTGACTTCAGATTTTGGCTTGTGTTGTCCTGCAGATCAAAGTTCTGTAGATAAGACATTATATGGTACAGTATCTTACCATTTGTCGCACCAGAAGTTTTACGTGGTGGAGAGTTTACCAAAGCGGCAGATATTTATGGGTTTGGAATGTTGATGTTAGAAATAATCAGTGGCGGAGCACCTTTCGCTGATAGAGATTATGACTTGCACTAGCTCTGGATATTTGCAAAGGAGAACGTCCGATAATTCCAGAATATACACCTGAGCCATATGCTGCCTTGATGAAACGTTGCTGGGATTCTATTCCTACCAATCGTCCGACGACTTTTTAATTTGGTTATGAATAATTCAGCTGGATGAGAAACTAGAAATTGAAGAAGAATTTAGCAAGGAACGGGAGGACAGATGGAAGCACGATTAGCAGCAGAATTGGCTACAAATCCATGTCCACCGAAAAAATCACAGAACGTGCTTATCAGTAAACAACTTGATTATTCCAAGCAACTTACTTAACTACTTGAAGCCAAGGATGTTGAAATGAATACAAATAACAATAGTACGTCATATACTTTATAATTTTAGCAGATAAAGTCTTTAACATATTTTTTCACAATTAGTAGCATAACACACTCGGCAATTAAATATGACTCTCTAGAAGGCTAGGTAATGATGTGTATTTTACATTACGGGCATAATTTATATTTCAATTCCATTTTAAAGCTAAAATTGGAAACTACAAGCTTTATGATTATGACATAAATAATCAGTCATAAATTCTCTTATTTTACTTTCAGTATTAAGAGGGAGAATAAATTTTCTTAATTTGAAATTCTTTCTAATACTTCACTCAAAATATTAGGAACTCTTTTGGGTTGGTGACAAGCGTTTTACGTCATACTTAGTCACATTTTTGCCTCGTGACATTATTTTATTATGAATACTAAATACTGTATATTTATTCCATATGCAAAAACGGGTGAAATTTAACCAAAATCTCTCAATTTTCGATCCACTTGGATTACACAATGAAAGAAGTCTCATAATCCGATTCTGAACATATAATGTAATACATTGAGAAACCGATAAAAAGTGATAAAAAACGGCAGGGATTTCTTAAGGGAATATAACTTCAATATATATCTTAATATAACCTAATATATCTTTTTCAACGCGTTGGCAGAAGGATTGAACAAAATTGTTTGATTTCAAAATACTGTAGATGTATCGTGTACGACCGCTAAACATATAATAATCCCTGAAAGAAACTAAATATATTTGATCGCATATTATTTTAGACAATTGTGTATTTGAAAACTACTTCTAAAATAGGTATTTTAATAATGATGATAAAAAAAAGGAAATACTAACTTAATGAATCTAAACATTTAAGTAAAGATGTATTAAACTATGAGCTCCACTTCTTCAATTGTGAAGCAAATTATTTAAAATCTATTAACACTACTAGGGTTACAACGCCAGTGGCCGCAGTGTCATGTGACTTTGTAAATGACTTTTGCCGTAGACTTAACGTAAGCTTTTGATTGGCTTAGACTCTTAAACTTTTGACATGAAGTACTTTTAATTATAGAACTCGTTAGCATTTTTTTAATCATGATTTTTTAATTTATTTAAAAACCATTCGCAGTTTAGTACAATTTATATAAATAATAAAATAATTAAGCTTTTCTTATTTTTTTTTCAATTATTATTATTATTTTTTTTTGTAGAAAATCAGTAAATCACGTAAGTATTGATAGTCCTTTAGCAAATAAATTCGTTGATAATTTTTTTTTTAATAAGTAAATATGGAATTTTTCAATAAATAGATACGAGGATATTTTTTTTTTAATAAATATAAATATGAAGGTTTCTTAACAAGATTTTTTAATATTAAATAAATATTAAGAATTTTTTTTAGTCAAATAATTTTTTTTCCTTAAAAGGTTTCCATAATTATATCATAGTTAATAAGAAATTCCGGTTAAAATCTGGATCAGACTGGGCTAGGTTTCAAATTATGGACTTTTGTGCAGGACTTTTATCAAAAAGATCTAAATTAGGAAATTTATATGGATTTGTTAAATTTAAATCATAAATAATTAAAATCTAAAGTCTACTTGTGTAAACTGCTTGAGGATGTGTCATATATGATATAGTATCAGTAGATATTAAAAGTGATGAAAAGGATTACTTTTTATTAATATCATCTGTTTCCATAAATTACAGAATCCACTTCATTGTAAAGAATATCAACTCATAAATCATGAATTAGCTTAAGTAATTTATTTGCATTAGGTCGTTTTAAAAGGTCTGCATTCCAACATTGACTAATAATGTCAAAAATTAATTGAGGAATTTTATAATTAGACTTTGGTCTCAAGCCTTTACAAATTTTCATTGCTAAGAATTAATCATGAGCTATATCATAATAAGGAGGTAAACCTATATAAATTTATATGCAATATAAGGCTATTTTGAGAGAATTTGACATTTGCTGGTTGACATAATCCCAAATCAGTAATAAAAGCATCTTGATCATGATGAATTAATTATTTATTATGAATATCTATCAAGTCCAGGTGCAATATTAATTATTTTTTTATTCCAATTTATTGAAATTAAGTTGCTATTTAAATGTTGTCTTGAACTGCCATTTTTTAATTGCATTACCATCATAAAATTATTTGTTTTTGGATCTTTGGTAATACTACCAAAACAACGAATTATCCAATACTATTACCGTATTACGTACTAAAAGATTTGATTCAACCTTAAAAGAAAATTATAATAGTTAATTTAACATTTATGAAGAATAATAAAAATTTATAAGAAAATATCTTACTTATTTAAAAAATCTGCTGTAATATCTTGTGAGTCATGCAAGCATTTTAAAGCAACTTTTGTTCACCTATTCTTTCCAATTGATCAAGCATAATTTATATCCCAAGGACCATCTTTGCAAACTGCTTTATCAGTAGTTCCAAATCCCCTTTTTGCTAAATATTCAACACCAATTTATCATATTCAATCCACTTTATGACTTGGTTTAAAATATTTAGCTTTTAGGTGTAAATTTAGGTAATTCTATAAAAGAAATTCTCTTTTTTAGAAGTCCCAAAAGGAGATATATTTCCGTTTTAGGAAAATTATTTTTAGAATTCAAAATGGTATTTTGAAGGTTATTACAAAAAAAAAAAAAGATTTACAAATTAACAGTAACTATTTTTAAAAAAAATGCTAAATAGAAGGCAAATATATTTTATTTTAGTTCTTGATAGGCATAATATAATTTAACTACAAGATTTACATTTGTTTCCTAAAGTTTGTTATGGTTCAAAGGGCATAAAATTGAATAAATCGATGAATGTAAATAAATTCGTTGTATCAACATTCATAATAACATACTTTGTCAATCGTAACAACTTAAATTTCTTTACAACATTCTCAATTTAAGCTTTTATTTTGATCAAGTTATCTTTTATAAACACTTTGGGAAATGAAAATTATACAAAGGTTTGACATGTGTTGCCAAATTCACGTGGCATTTTCAGGAAGAATAAGGAATTTAATTTTTTTTTCAATAGTAATTATAATATTCCTTTATTTAGCCGTTGAAACAGCGTTAAAACCAAAGTTTTTGTAAAATATGTCGAGTTCATTTTTACTTCTTTATTTTTCATAATATGCATGAATTTATTTTACATTTGGTTCTTCTCCCAGCATAAATAATAACATTACACTAATTCCTAATTTTGCTTCAAAAAAAGAATATTTCACTATCGGATAACTGCCCAAAATTTAAATAAACTCATCAGGTACTTTTTATCCAGTTTTTATTCATATTGTCAATTTGAAACAATGTTGATATTTCGTAATTCTATCATAATAGAGAATAAAACAATTACTGTACCAAAATGAGAAAAACAAAGTCATAAAGATTTGAAGGATATGTAATAATTTATTGATGCATAATAATGTTTTTAATTGAAGTGAAAAAAACAAAAACTATGAAAACATTTTTATATTGATTTTGATCCCGTTAAATTTTAAGGATATTGACTCGCACTTTTTGATGTCCGAAATCAAACTAACCCAGTTGTTCTCAGATAACAATACAAAGCAATTACGATAATTAAATAATAGAAGTATTAAAATATGATTTCGTTAACAAGATTCATTTGAATCATAAAATAATGAAATTCTCAATAATTGACTAAATAACCAACGAAAAAAAAAAGATAAATAAATTATTTTAACCAATCATATTTTCATTTCTCCTGCTGTAAATAAAAAAATAAATTAAATCATTTATCAAGTATTATAAAAAATAAAAATTACAAATACTCACATCATCATTTATTTTTAATTTAGAAATATCAATTTGTAAAGATGCTATTTGATGAAATAAAATTTATTTTACACTTAACGAAACGATAATTAATGTGAATATGTTTAATATAACAAAATTATTAATTACCTGAATATTCCTTGCTTATTATATCGTCATATCGGTTATAATAATCACCAGAATTTCTTGGTTCGGGAAGATTATTAAAATTAAGTAATCTACTTGTATAAATAGCTTCCGAATGTGTTTCATATGATAAGGATGAACTAGTTGGAGATATAAAACTATTGCCTAATGTTTTATTATTGATTTCTTCCGATTCTTTAATTTGCTGTTTTAGCTCTATATAACTATCAAAGTCCGTATACCATAGTGATAAAATATTCGCAATTTCATTCACTATTGGTCGATTTAATGGATTTGCATCTAAGCATTTTTTAATTAAATGCACGATCAATTGGGGTACTTTAATATTAAACCTTGGTCTGAGTCCTAGACAAATTTTTATTGCCAAACTTTCATCATGACTTACATCATGATATGGAGGTAATCCAGATATTACTTCATACATAATTATACCAAAACTGTAAACATCAGTTGCTTTAGTATAATTTTGTCCTCTTAAAATTTCTGGGGCAATATAAGGTAAAACTCCGTATATTTTATTATCTAACTTATTATAATATGCAGGCCTGCATAAACCCATATCAGTTATATTAGTTTTAGAAGAAAACTTTAATATATTACCATTATGCAAATCTCGATGAATTAATTCTTTCACATGAACTATTGCAAGTCCAAATGAAATCCACCATAAATTATTTAACTTATCTTTCCAACTTAATTTATCATAACATTTATCTAAATAATTTCGCAAACTTCCATGTTCTGCATATTCCAAAACCATAATATAATTTTGCGTTTCTGGATCTTGAGATATTCCATAAAGTTGAGTAACACAATTATAACAATTATAATTATCTCCAATCTTATAATGCGATATAATCTACACATAAAAGTACATTAGAAGAATAATTTATTAATTAATAATATATTTAAAATTTTAAATTTAATTTATACCTCATTGATAAATTCCCATGTAACATCTTTTGAATTATTTAAAATTTTCAAAGCTACAGTGATATTGGAATATCGGTCCCAATTTTGATTTTTATTATTCCGTTTATATATACATCCATCAATCCAATTTGCTCTATACACTTGGCCAAACCCACCTTTTGCAATATATTTAATATCATAAAATGTGTTATAAGGTATCCATTCTAATACATTTTGTTGATGACTCGCTGATAGTTGAGTATCTCGAATAAATTTGTCAATGTTAGCATTACCACTTGTCCAATTTTTAAAATTTCGTTGAAAATGTTTTGCGTTACACGCTCTACACCATTCATATCCAGTATTGTTTTGATTACATTCTTCGCACAAATCCATGAGTAAATATTATATATTCAATCAACTTTATATATTAATGAATGTAAGAGTTTGCGTAAAAAAAAAATGGAAGTCAACTTTCGCTTGAAGCACAAGTTGAAATTTTCAAATTGCTCCGCTTTGGCGCTAAATTTTTTAAGTGAACACTACTATATGTGTTAGATATAGATACCTTCCGACCATTCATATGCAAAATATCGAGCGGAAATACAGATAAACGGGAAACCATGAAATGCCGATTTTCATGACGAAAATTGTCATGTGGACACAAATAAAAATGTACTATTTTAAAATGATCGACAAAATATTTTTATTAATTTAAATTAAGCATTAATTAAAGTACAGTATATTTGCATTTGGCAGATTAAAATTATAAAAAATGGTACAACAGTATCAATGTTATTGTAATGTGCAGCCTTACTAAATTCGGTGGATCCACGCAGTATAGTTTGCACATCTGATTGAATGTAGTACATAAGCGCGACATTAATGGCGCTTACTATTATTTTATATATAACAGATTAGAGCGCACAAAACTATTTTGAATAATGTGCGCTCAGCGCGTATAAAAATAATCTGAATTCCCAACACTGACTGTAATGACAAGGTTGTGTGACCCAACATTTTGGTAATAAAAATCAATAAAATGGAAAGGCAGGATTTTAAAAAAAAGAGATCTAAAAAAAGAAAGTTTTGTTATCATATTAATTTTTGGAAATTTAAAATTGGATTTTTTTTTGATCGGTTTTCCTTTTTAGTTTTAGCAGAGTTTTAACAATATTATTTTTTGAAATTTTTTTCCTTTATTTAATGATATTGTTTCCTGGGTAATAAATTGCTTGATTTTTTATTTTCTTTGAATTTTTTTCTAATGATATTGTTTCTTGGCTAATGAATTGCATGGATTTTTTTTTAGTGAGATTCTTTTTTAGCGAGTCAAATAATAGATTGCACAGATAATATTAATAATATTAATAAATAAATGAATATAATTCTATGATACTGTTACCTGTTTCGTGTGATAATATTTTTTGCATCAATTTTTCTATTTATATAATACAAATAATTATTGATACTAAATTCATAATGACTTCTTTTAATGAAATACTTGAAGGTGAAACACCTCAACAACGTAAAAAAAGATTAAATAAAAGAAAATCAAGTCCCGATATACGAGATAGAGATGTTATTTTGTTAAATTTATTGCAAATAAATAAGTTACTATATTATATATAATAAAATAAACTTTTCGTATTATTTCGAAAATCTCGTACTTCTGATTATCTTATGTTTGTTAATTAAGATAATATAATAGTACGCATACCGCAAGGACTTTCTAGGTGTCATTCTGTAAAATTACCGAGACTGCAGATAAAAGCTAGTGACACATTTAATGTTTATAGATTAAATATGTTATTAGTCTTTAATTTAGGTCCAATTGAAATAATGACTATATGTATTTAAAACAATAAAATTAAAATATCCGGATAATTTTATTTTAGATAATTTATGACTTTTTATTTCTAGTAGTAATTAAAACAAATTTCTTTAAGATATGTCTTATAAAGTACACAAAATATACACTGTCTTTAAATTATTTTTGTCATCTACCTTTATTTATTTATTTATTTATTTTTGCCGTTTATTATTTTTTTTTTAGTTATAAAAAATTTCACGTTAGCACAAAAGTGAAAGACGTGTACAATCCAAAATTTTGATATAACGATATTTCTGGATCCATGTGAAAATCTTTTTAAAGGTCAAACTTATAATCCTTTTATTCCACAAATTATTTTTTTACTACATTTGTGAGTTTATTTACGCTAAATCACGTGATTTAGATGTCACATATTTTAGATTTACTTTCACGATCCCTTCCATACGGAGGATTTTGATTAGGAAAAACGAACAACCATTTACTTCCCACTTTTTTATCTTAATTCAAAGCAATAATAGTAGTCTATATTCCGGACTGATAGTACTTATGTCTGGTAACCAGCTTGAAAAATATGGCGACGACAGGTTAAGCTGAGGCGGTCTTACTATAAGATTTTTAATACTGGTTTTAACAATTATAGCTAGTTTTATTTGATAAACAAATTATATGCAATTATTGTAATAAAAGTCTACACGTCACATATAATTTAAATGTTCAGTGCATTTAAAAGAAATGCTGTACTATGATAATAAAGTAAAGTCCATTAAAAATATGATATTTATTTTTATAATAAATGGTTTATGACATATATTTAAATGTTAAAAACTCTAATTTATAATAATTAAAAGATGATAAAAACAATTGTTTTTAAGATTCAACTCTAGAAATTTTGAATTCAAAGTGTGAATCAGGTTTAGAAGAAACGAAAGTTCTAGTTTTAGATTGAAATCCTTCATCAGTTGGTCGAAAAACAAAATTTCTAATTAAATTACTTAATAATATTTTAAATTCAGCTAAAGCTAATTTATTTCCAATACAACCCCTTGCACCAGTATTGAAAGGTAAAAAACTTAAATTTGATATATTTTTAGTTAAAGTAGGATCCAACCATCTTTTTGGATCAAATTCAGCAGCTGTTGGACCCCAAATTTCAGTTGATTTATGAAGTCCCATAGTTGAAATCATTATTGGAGTATACTATTATTATTAAATAACGAGAATAAAATGTTTTTAATTAATAATTTAAAATTTTTTTTTTTTTTAATAAAATACAAAAAAAAAATATAAATATACCTTTGGAATAAAATAATTCCCATAAACTTTATCTTTAATATTAGTTCTCCTAATCATGGTAACTAAATTAAAAATTATCGAGTTAATAAGCTGATTTTATAAAATTTAAATATATTAATAACAACTAACACTATACCTGGAGAATGTAATCTTAAAGTTTCTTTAACTACGCCATTTAAATATTCCAAGGAATTAATTTCATCAAATGTAGGATTAAAATTTGATTTATCAGGAAAAGCTTTATTTATTTCTTCACGTAATATGTCTTGCATATGTGGATGTCGTGCAAGTAAATATATAGCCCAACTAGTTGAAGTACTTGTGGTTTCATGTCCCGCTAATAAGAATGTCATAATCTAAAATATACACAGATAATAAATAATATTTGCGCATTAAAAAAATGATAAATATTTTTGATAATACAGTTTTCACACATTTGTTTTAGTCACCTGATTTTTTAATTCTTCGTCGGTCAATTTTTCTTCAATAGGTAATGTTTTATTAATATTAATTAACACAGATAACAAATCATCTCCTTTTAATTCTCCAATGTCGGCTTCTTTAAGTTTTCTTTTAACCAAATTCTTTGATTCGCGATCTATAACCGCACATGCATTGACAAAGTTTTTATTTATTTCAATCGGAATACTTCTAACCATTGGAAAATAATATGCTAATCTACCAAGCATAAAATGAAGAATAGTTGGTGGGGTAACAATAGCGTTATAAGCATTAGCTAATTCATTCGGAGATGTTAATGTATTGAATTCGTAATTAAATCCTAAANAAAAAAAAAAAATTTAAAAAAAGTTTCGAGGCGAACGCCTCGAAACTTACCATTTAGCCCGAAGTAAAACCAAAGGAACGTTCCCTCATAAAATTCGTCCAATCATTATCATTTGTAAATCAACTTGAATATCAATTAAATAAAAGGTTTAAGTCCTATGTTAATGTATTGAATTCGTAATTAAATCCTAAAAAAAAAAAAAAACGTAGAATTGTAAAAAAACGCGTATAGAATATCAACATAAAATTTCATTTTATTTTTCTCACCAACTAAGCCAATGATATCTAAAGTAGCTTTTGAAAGATAAGGTGCAATTTTAATTTTAGATTCTCCTAAATTTATTGTATCTTCAGTTATTACACTTATTAACTTAGAAGCTATTCGAGTAAATGTTGGAACCATATTCTAAATTGAGATAATATAAGATATTAAATTAGTTCAAAATTAAAAATTCATCAAAATGAAATGAGTTATAATATAGTGTATGGATTGTTGTGTATGGTTAAACATCACATATAATAAGTCACGTGATCGCACGTGGATCAGTCATACGTGATATTTAACATACACTACAATATAAATTCATATTTATCATAACACCCAAATGAAATATATCTAATTACCTTAATATTGCTATAAGTGAAAGCTGGATTCATCATCTTTCTTTGTCTCTTATGAACATTACCTTCCGAAAGTGCAAGACCATTACCGATAAATGCAACAGAATCTGATAGAATGTTCACAGGTTTAATATAATCATAACTATGACTTAATGTAATATCTTGAACTATTGTTGTATCTGTGATTAAAAGAGCTGGTTGATTAAATATTTCGTAATATTTTACTATATTTCCATATTTTTTTGTCAATTCAAGTTGTGGCTCCTATATAAATATATATAAGATAATGTATGAGTTGAATGAAAAAAAAAATTAAGACTGATATAAACAACATTAACCTCTTCTTTCATAAATTTTTTATAATTTCCGTAAAATAGACTTTCAAATGGTGGACCAGGAATTTTTCTCAAAGGGGTAAGATAAACTGGCCAAATATACATTTTATAAGTAGCCCATCCTATAACTCCTAACACAAAGAAGCTAATCAAGGAAGTCAAATCAAGCATTGTTTTTATTATTTTTGAAAAAAAATTAAAATTATTAAATAATTAGACGGAGATTTTTAAAGTGAGAAGTGAATTTTCACAAGATATTTATATGATTGATTATTTCGGTTTCGGTAGATATACACGCCTTAATATTTTAGCATTGCTGTTAAAATTAAATTAATCTCGTGGGATTGAACCACTTATGTCCTCATGTCTCTTTGTTGTTGAAAAAACTTGTTTAGCCGTTGCATTAATTAAGTGGAGGTGAGATATTAGCGGTCCGTCTATAATCCTATACCGAAATACTACTAACTAAAATTGAGCATGAAGGTATTCAGAATTAGACGATACGCAAATTCTTTGATCATGTCAATATGTTCACTTACTACATCGTTTTGAAAAATCATCGTAGCAGATCGTAACGTGTAGATAGAGGCTAAAGAGTAAAGAGAGCTTAACATCGATCGTAATTTATATTGTATGTGTTGTTTCTCTGTAATTTTATAATTTAATCATCCATCATCCATAACATGCTACTTCTTTGTTTTCTCGGCAAAAAATTATTTTACCTTAAGGAGTTAATATTGACCGAGGAGATATATTTTACCCATATGTCGATCATGTCATGTCGATCATATATATGTATTATAATTTACAGATCACATGGCGATCACAATCCCGTATGATACTTGTACGTAATAATTTTGTAATATTTTGTAACCACCAACGTTTTATATTTTTATTATATTTTAAAATTAATATATTAAATAATTTTAATACTACAAAATTTAATGAATTATTTATTAATGTTACTAGTTAGGAAAAATGTAATTTTTTTGCATATTACTCAACACTGATTTATTCAATTATACTAATTTCTCAATTGATTGTATGTTATGACGATAATATTACAAAGGTTTCTAATTCTAAATTATAAATTACTCTATCCCCTATAAAAAATAAGTGTCCGGAAATTGTCCTGAAATTGTCCGGAAAATTTGTCTAAATAATTGTCCGGAAAATGTCCAGAAAATGCCAGGTACCATGTCCGGAAATTGTTCCGAAAACACACTCGTTTCCGGACACTCATTTTGTCCAGAATTTGTCCGGAAATTGACCTGAAATATTTTTTCATAAAATTTGGCACAAAAAGATGATCAACAGGTGACCATCATTATAATTGCTTTTAACTTAAAGTTTTATATCATAGATATATAGTATTTTTGCCTGCTCAGCAAATTTAATTAGTATGACAAAGAAGGTTATGAATGTCAGTCTTGTGCTTTTTGCATTTTTTTACAAAATTAATTTATCCTTTTTTGGAAGTAGCGTCCAGAATTTGTCCAGAATTTTTTCATGTCCGGAATTTGTCCAGCTCAAATTATCTGAATTTTTACTATGTCCGGAATTTGTCCAGGTTTATCTGTCCGGAATTTGTCCAAAATTTTATACTGGACAAATTCTGGATATATTCTGGACAAAGTCCGGATATGTCAAAATTTTAGGTATCAAATTTGTAGCAAAAAATAGACATTTTCCGGACAATTTCTGGACATGCCAGATTTATTCTGGACAATTTCTGGACATTTTTGTAGACATTTTCCGGACATTTATTTTTTATAGGGGCTATGAAAGTATTAATGCTACGTTGAGTCAAATTGTTTAGTCGGGTTTATCCAATTGGTAAAATGATCGATCATCACGTATTATGAAAAATACGAATAACATCCAAATAAGTAATAACCAAGGCGATTAAAATTTTAAAAATATGTTATTTTCAAATTAAATAGTTTATTGACAAAATTTTAATTACCAATGAATCTTGTTGCTGCCAAACTAATTTGATAATATATATAATTATCATGTTCCGTATATTAAATATAATTGCCGATAATTTTGTTATTTTTAAAAAATCAAAAATAAGTTATAATTAAGCTATAATTAAGCTAAAGTCCATACAATGGGTCACACGATAATATCGTTATGCGTGGCCAAATCTTTACCAATCATCTGCTATCATTGGTTAATAATTTTGATATTTATCAACGCAAAGCACAATAACTTATAACTATAAAAAGGTTGGCGATATTTTTCTGCATAAATAAAATTGAATTGTGTAACATGGAAATGCGATTTGACGATTTGACCGGCAAACTGTATGTTGATTACTAAAATAAGTAAATTTTACTTTCCCGGTAATATTAACAGTTAAGTAATAGACATCGACTTATTAAGTTAATAATTTTTTTAGTATGATTTTTTTTAATATCAATAGACCGGTATAGTACAATAGATATAATATAATTTTTTCATTTTTTTGGGATTTTTTTAATAATAAAAAAATTTTTTTTTGATTATTTTTTTTATTTCCAGTTTCTTAGTTCAATACCGAAAATATTTTTTTTTTGTTTTTTATTATTATTATTGTACAACTTGTTGTTAATTATTTTTTTCTTGGTTGTCTCATCTTCTATCATAAGTTATAGTAATTATATAATCATTGGATGGAATGTAAATAATAATCAATCGTAAAGAAAAATAATATCAAAATTAAATTAGAAAAATCGCAGTAACAATTACAGATTGTCTAGCAAAATTAGGAAGAATGAGCGAAAATTCATGTTATATATTGTTTGAAAATATGGTATGGGAATATAGTTTGTTCTGAAAAGGCAATATAATAAGAGAAAATACTAGAAGTGCTATGCAAAATTAATTTCATTAGAGTTCTTACATCATTATATAAACTATATGTGTAAAAATATGTTTTTTGCCTTCCTAGTGGCACCGGAATTTTAAAAAAGAATTTTGATGAATATCCATTTCTTATTTTCTTTAGATCAAAAGGAATCTTTGTAATTTCTTCCAAAATTCCAATATTATTAATTTGTAATAAAAACTAAAAAGCTTGTAATTTTCAATTGAATTTTGATTATTGTAAAATTCTTTATTATTTTTATAGCCTATAATCTTGAACATTTTATATCTCACATAGAAGAATTTGAAAATGGACAGGTAAATTTATTGCTTGTAGTAGGCGGTACACTGTATGTTATTAATTTTTTAATAAAAAAATAAATTATATGATAGATTTTAATTTGCAAATAAGTACGGTATAACCGCAAGTTCAAAACGATTAAGCTGAATAAATTATCCTTTTTTGAATTTGTGTAAGGAGGAAACGTAAATATGTATCTTGATCGCTGAACTATATCTGGAGGTTGATCAGTAGATAAGCCTTTGGTAGGTTTATTCGAATTGTTCTTTCTCTGTTGATTTGATAATAGATTTTCTTTTTCTTATTAGTAATTCCATTCATGATTCCCCATTGTTTGACATTTTTTTGGCTCTTTTACGCCAGATACTTTATCTTTAGTGACTGATATAATGACAGGACCTTCACCACACATCGGAATCACCACCTAACTATCTTACCTTAATGATATTTTTAATTTTAGTAATAAATGATTCAGTTTATTCGTAATTAGTATCTCTAGTAGAACCATTAACTAGAAATTAATTATTTACCATATATTATTCCTTTTAAAGTTGAATTTCTTCATTCTTGTAAATCTCTGCATTTACCTATTATAAGAAAGGAAAATTATTAAAAGTGTGCTAAATTTTTATTTAATGGTAAAGAAGACATAGCCAATTCCTCCTTTAGAATTAGCAGACTTTACCAATAACAAAGTAGGATTTTATCTGCTTGAGTTGATTATCAAGTGAACAAGCTGTCTCTTATACACATCTAGATGTGTATAAGAGACAGGATTATTACTATCTTCTAGAAGATTATATAATATATTACTAANAAAAAATAAAAATAAAATAAAAAAGAAAAAGCAGGTAATTTCATAGGAATTACCCACTTTGCAATAAAATAAAATAAAAAAGAAAAAGCAGGTAATTTCAAGGAATTACCCACTTTGCTCACCCTTACCCAACCCAAACAAACAAATCCAGTACCCTCCTAAGTAAAATTTGTGAACTCCCCGACTCAAATGAGTTATCCGTTCTAATTTTAGCTTAGGAAGTTACCCACTTTGCAAATAAAAAAATACACACCTCTCTTAAAGTCTCCTAAGCCATTTACACTCATCTAGAAAACCGGTAATGCTCTATTCAGAGAGCTTTCATCTGTTGTTTAGTGTTTCAATACAAAATAGTGCTGTAAGCCTGTAACTAATAAATAAAAAAAAAAGGAATAAATACGATCCAATGATAAGAGGTCTATAAACATCAAAAAAAAATTTTCGCGTTTTTGATACGCACTCTTTTTCAAGAACTCCTCTAAGAAAATAAGTTTATAAAACAATGACCATTGGAATTCTTTATGTTCACGTATTGGCAATGGTAGTTTGAGATTGATCACTAAAATTAGACGTACGCGACGCGTACGTCTAAGAAAGGGACGAAGTGAAGGATTTTAGAGTATTTTTATTTTTTAGAGAGTATTTTTTTTTTAAAGAAAAGAAAACAGTAGAGAAAACTGATGGTATATATGTTGAGAGTATATATATTTGTAAAAAAAATCGCGTCGTGAGAAAAAAAATGATGACTGATGATCGTCATGTGATTCTGCAATGTGGAGCTTGTTTAATACTTTGTACGCGCCTATCAAATTATTCAAATTTAAATTTTTAAAAGACCGAATTCTCATTTTATATAAAGGAATCATCACATCTTCAATATATGTGTAAATAATAGTCAATTATGACAATTCGTATTGTAAAAATTTTAAAGAATTATAATATAATATTTATTTGCAAAAAAAAAAATTGATTATAATAATCAATACTTCGAATATGAGTTAAATTCAAATTCAGCAAACAAAGTTGTGGCTTTGTGATTAGTAACCATATTTGAAGTTAAATATAATATCAGAAAAAGTAACCTATAGTTATCAATCAATCAATCAATTGTCGTGATTAGTAATATATTATATAATCTTCTAGAAGATAGTAATAATCAATATAAATACTTTATATATAATTTTTAAAAGAATTATAAATATACTATTTTATTGATTATCTGATGTGATAAATAAATTATTTAGGTGTCCTATCCGTAATATATATTAATCATAATATTATCATAGATAAATACACATTCTTTAATTCACTGCGTTTGGTTTTATGAATTTCAAAAATAATAAGTGAAAATTATGATCATAATAATTTCTATGTTTAAATTATCTATACGAAAAAAAAAGTTTTTACGCACGTATCAAATTATCTGAACATTTCATTTTATAGAAACTGAACTATCGCGCTTACAATACGTAAAAAAATTTCAATATTCTAAACATATAATAAAGTAATTATTGTTACAATAATATTAATCAAAATTGCATTAATTTTTTTTGGTCTACTAATTAATCACGTCTAAAAGGCAAGTCATTAATTTGAATATTAGTTTGATAAAACGGTCAATTTTTCTTTAATTTTGCTGATATGAGCACTTGATCGGAATGTCGATCATCAAGTGAGCCAAATCCGCCCTTATGTGATGTCAATCCGATATTATTGACTCTTATATCGATAATTTATGTTCTCACGTAAAGAAAATCTTATTGTTATATTGACAGACTGTAGTGTGCATTAAACAAAATTATCTTTAACAAAATGTCGCATTATTAACCGTTTCTAAAATAAAAAAATTTGTTTGAAAATTGATTAATTGGTTAAATTGGTTAAGAAAAGTGGGTCACCGCAGCATGTTATGTGGCTTTTTTTGTACAACCTTTTGTGACTGTACGACATTACCAAAAATTTATTATATAATGAAAAAAATTTATTATTTTACGACCAATAATAATATCAAAATGCAAAAACACCGAAAATACAAATGAATGTATCAATTGGATTGAAGAGGCCATTTCTAAGGAATATTTAAGACTTTATGAACATAAATATTTTAGTAATGTTTAAAAAATTGGTACTGGAGGATTTGGAAAAGTTTATCGTGCAAATTGGAGAAATTCAGACCAATATTTAGCGTTAAAATCCTTTTTCAATGTTGATGACGTAATTGCAAAAGAAATTGTTCATGAGGTATGTATAAATTATGAAATAAGTATACTATTATCATTTTAATATTAATAATATATGTATTAAATTTATTTTTATGAATATCCCGATTATATTCCAGCTCAAGCTTCAACGTGATATACAATTTCATAATAATATTATTAAGTTCTATGGCGTTGCACTATTTGAGCCAGGTATTATATAAATTTAATTATAATAATAGTTAAAATTTTATTTAACTTTGCAAATATGTAATTATTTAGAAAATGATTAATTCCTTTTATTCATTATTAGAATATCAAAATGTTCAATCGAAAAATTATTTGTTAGTAATGGAGTATGCTGATTCTGGTACTCTCAAAAATTATTTAAAGGAAAACTTCAATAATTTTACTTGGAACGACAAATATAACTTAGCGTATCAATTAACTAGCGCCGTATCGTGTTTACATAACGAAAGAATAGTGCATCGTGATTTGGTAATTCATTTTATTAAATAATAAAATAATTATTGTTATTTTTTTCATATTTTTAACGTCATACTAATTTAATAGCACTCCGGTAATGTATTGGTTCATCAAAATACTATCAAACTGTCCGACTTCGGGTTGTCAAAAAGAATCGAATCATCATCCAACACAAAAACTAAATTTTTTGGATGTGTTCCTTATGTCGATCCAAAAAGGTTTAGCGGACGAAAAAAAAATAAAAACTCAAATCAAATATGTTCATTTAATAAAAAAAGTGACATTTATAGTGTTGGTGTGTTATTTTGGGAATTGTCTAGTGGTCAACCACCCTTTGCTACTGAAGAGTACGATATTGATTTAGCTTTAGAAATTTCACAAGGTCGTAGAGAAAAACCCATTCTTAATACGCCTGAAAATTATATTAAAATTTATACTGGTATGTATGAACACTCATTAATTATAATTTAAATTTTATTTATAATATATTATTATGTTTTTTAGAATGTTGGGATAATGAACCAGACAATCGTCCAACTATAAATCAAGTATTAGAAAGATTAAAAGAAATTATAACGAAAACAACAGAAAATCATTAAATCTTCAATCAATACCAACAGATGAACAAAAATTTAATCCAATCAATATTGATACTTCAAATATTAACAATTCATTACATGGGGAAATGTCTCAAATTATTGAAAATTTTGGTAAAATGGATACAAAAGAAATGGTATATACATCATTAACAAATGAAGATATTTCATCTGAAAAAAATTCGAACATAATAGTTAGTGATATAATAAATTATATTTTCAAATTGCAAGCGAATTTATTCTTGATTATTTTAATAATAATAATATAAATTCACAAGAAATCCATGATTGGTTATTAATTAATCAAAATAATTTAGATTCCATATTTTTATTTGGATGTTTTAATTATTTAGGAATTGAAACAAGTGAAAATAGAAAGAAAGCGTTTAACTTATTCATTAAAGCATCAGAACAAAATCACATATTAGCGCAATATTATGTTGGGTTATGTTATGAATGTGGTCGTGGAACTGTAAAAGATAAAAAATTAGCTTTCGAATATTATAAAAAAATAGCTAATAAGGGTAACGTATTAGGATTATTTAGGTGTGGTTATTTTTATGATATTGGATTTGGAATTAGTGTTAATAAACAAAAAGCAATTGAATTATATCAGCAGGCGGCAAATTTAGGACATTTGATAGCTCAAAATAATCTTGGCGTTATGTATGAAAATGGGGATGGCATTAATAAAGATTATGGCCGAGCTTTTGAATTATATCACAAGGCAGCAAATTCAGGATATAGTTTGGCTCAATATAATCTTGCTGATATGTATGAATATGGAAAGGGAATTGAAAATGATATAAATCAAACAATTTATTGGTACGAGAAATCTGCTAAACAAGGGTATCAACTTGCTCAAAATAAATTAGAAATATTAAGAAAATAAATCACGTTAATAATTAAGCATTTTTATTTGAATAGATCTTTGTGACAAAGTGTGTATCAAGCCAGTAGTTTTATTTATCATAACGTTTTTCTTAAATTAAATATTGTATTATCGTATAATTATTATAATTATTAAATAATAGTTCATGTTCAGAAATTTTACGTGATCTCCATTTTTGTAATTGTATAAAATTTATGATTCATAGATTTTAGAATGGTTCTACCTATACCCTTAATTTTATTAGCAATAGAAATAATTTTAGTTTTTGCAGTGCAGTGATGAAGATACAAAGATGAGAGCATATAAGATTAAAAATTTTCTGAAAGAATTGCCAACTTATGGAGTTTTATATAAAAGAGAGTTAACGAAATAATAAATGATATGTGTCCAAGATGCAATAGTGAGGTCGAAGATTGGTATCATATCTGGAAGTGCGAAAGAAATGAAGTTAATATAGATGAAATATTATATGAAGCAATTGCTGAATACGAAGAAATATTAATATTGGAAGAAAGAAAGGAGGATCTAGATATATTAAGAGACATCAATATCAATTTTTATGAAATAATGATGCAGAAATCAGACATTTTAATAGGATATAATAGAATATGGGAACTTTTGCGCGGAGTATATAATAGGAAATTTAACGAGATATCGAAGAAAAAAAGAATACAAGAAGTTGATAGAGCAATTACTATGGAGTTTTTGTTATAATAAATATCAGACGAGAATTTGGGTTAAAAGGTGTGATGATGTGGCGGATATAGAGAAAAATAGAGGTATAGATAGTAAAGGCAAAAGGAAAAGGAAAAATATAATAGAAGAGGGCGATAGTGTCGATAATAAAAAATTAAGAAAAATTCAAAAAACAAAAGAAAATAGTTTAAATGAAAAAAATACAGAAAACTTAGTTAAATTAGTGACGAGAGATAGTTTATTAGATGATGTAATAAATGGAAGATCTTTTAAGAATACTTGGGAACGATAGTTACAGTAAAGTATATAGTTAAATTTATAGATTAGTTTTATTATGATTTTTTATATAGTTACAATTTTTATATAATTTTTAATAGATCGGTTAGTTATAGAGGATTGTGTAGTTTATTTATATAATCTTCTAGGTGTTTGTGTAATTATGTAAAATTTTAATAATCATAATTAATAAACGCGTTACTAATTTGTTTTTTTTTTTAAAAAAAAAAAAAAGAATGGTTCTACCTCTCAATAACAGTGTTGTTAAATTGCCGTGTCATTTGCCCATTCTTCAAATGACATTTGTCATTTCTCATACTTTTTCATAGTAAAATCGATGTCATTTAATATCATTTGATGTTCATTTCAATGTCATTTCAGTGTCATTTGACAACACTCTCAAAATCCTAATATTTCACACGTGAAACTGTATATATATTTATCATATCATGGAAGTTAACTAATTGTTTAAAGAAAAATATTCCTTAATATTACTTAAATTTTTATATTTTCCAAAAGTATAAATCACAAAAATTTTTATCTTTCTCTACACTTAATTAAGGTAAATTTAAGGTATTATTTCACAATCATGTAAAAAATTCTATAAGATTTTTCTAAGAAACTTTAAGAATATAATCTGGGGAAAATTATGCCTTGTGATTTATTAAAATTTCCATTATTCTGACAAATTAAACTCTTGTAAAATTACTAACTGATGGTTTGTTTGTTAAAGTAGGTATGATTATTCCATATTTCCAATATAATCAGCTAATTTCAAATTCTTTAAACTATTTTGTAAAGAAATCAATTCTTCTAAACTATTTCTAATCCATCCGGCATAATCAACTGTTTCGTATAATAAATGATTTCAAATAATGAATTCAGCTTTTGGCAGCTGATAAAAAAATTTCAAAATGATTTACAATTATGAATAATTTAAAATATCTATAATAATAAGTCAATAAAGTAATTTGATTTGTAAACATTTTGGTTACTTCCTTCGTGACTAAACAATATTTAACTTTTAGAATCCATTAAAAAGCAATATGATATAATTTATTTTTCGAGAACAATACTAAATATTTGCCAATCATATAATTAATTACAAGTGATTTTGAGGCATTGGGCAGTATCTTTACACCTAAAATGATTTTTCCTTCTCTAAATTTCAATTTTAAAGCATTTAGCGGCATCAACATTATTTATATATTTAACGCCGCAATTATTTTTTATTTTACAATGTTGCAAAAATGGCGCATGGTTATTATTAGTAAATTCTAAAGTCATAATTAGATCGGAATTGTGATTTATTCAAACAATTGATTATATTTGGCAAATCCTATCGAAACTATGCCTACTAGTTGTTTTAATTAAGCATGTAAAAAGTTAAATTAAAATGGAGGTTGAAATATTAAATGCACAACATGAAAAAAACTGAAAAGCTTAATTTTAAATTATGTGATTGACTTTTATAAGTATTATTTTTTGATAATTTAAAATTTTTGAAAACATTGAGAAAACTTTATGTAAAGGGAATCCTAATGCTGTATATATATACAAATAATAATTATATAGTAATTATATTTTAACATTTGTTAACCTCGGCTACCTACATTATACAAGCATAATTTATTAAAAGTAATTAGGCAGTTACAAAATAAAACTAAAAAGATTTATATAAATAAATAGAATAAGTTAGCAGACTTTGGTTTATCAAAAAATAACTGATGCATCATATAATCTAGCAGTTCTTGGTGTAGTTTCTTATGTTGGCCAAATATTTTTAAAATAATATAAAATAAAAGTTCATCAATATAAATTAAACACACTCAGCTATTGAGATGAATATAAAAATTTAATTTCAGTATCAATTACATTGATATTTTAATAATTGGAAAAGTCATAAAAAAAAGATTTGTTTAAATTACAAACTAAGAAATTTTGTAAAATATTTACTACCTAGCCCCAGTGTTTAAATAATTCTAAGAAGAGAATACATATATTTAATATTTGGATAAGATATATAAAAGGAATTATTTAAATTACAAACTAAGAAACGTGTAAATATTTTACTACTCTAGACTTAGTGTTTAAATAAATCTAAAAAGGTAAAATAAAAGAAAATTTTTGAATACATCATGTCAAATATCTCTTAAAACAACTATGAATCTTTAATATTAATTAATTTCATCTATCTTAATATCTATTTAATTAAAACAATAAAATTAATTTCACATAAAAATTTGCAAAATTAATTTTTCTTTATAATATATATTACATACCTAATTATTCATATCTTTAATTATACAATCATTCAAGTCTTCAGTTATACCAGTAGAAGAATAACTTTGTGAATCTTCACTTTCAAGAATTTCGTTCAATTTTTTACTAGTAAAATTAAGCAGACGACTTGTATAACATGCTTGTGGATGAGATTCAGTAGTAAGATTGCTATGCCCAGTTTGTGCATTTATAAATTCCATTTTGTTATTTTCTAATTCTTCATTAATTTCATTACTAATAGGTTGGAAAATCCAATTTCCAATTATATATTTCACTTCTGATGCAGATGGCCTTTTTAATGGATCTTCATTCCAACATTTTTTCATTAACTCTATATAGCATTTTGGAATATTTTCAATAATTTTAGGACGTTCACCTTTACAAATACTTAAACTAAGTTGAAGATCATGTGTTCTATCATTAAATGGTGGAACTCCAGACGTAAATTCCCACATAATCATGGAAAAACTATATATATCACTAGCCGGAGTATAAGGTTTACCTCTCAAAACTTCGGGTGCCATAAATGGTATAACTCCATAAATTTCACCTTTTTTAAAAGATGATTTTACAGGATGACATAATCCTAAATCACTAACAAAAACTAAATTATTATCAACTTCATTTTCTTCCTCCCCTTCATCCTTTTTATTGCTATGATTTAAAATATTGCCATCATGTAAATCACAATGAATAAGATCTTGTTTATGTATTTCATAAAGCCCAGAAATAATTTTGTACAACATATTTAATTTTTGTTTCCAATTATATTTAGTTACTTTAGCCAAATTTCCTCTTAAATTACCTTTATTTGCATAATCCATAACTACCATATAATTCAAAGTATCTGAACTTTTTGTAAACCCATATAAATTAATAATTTCATATGAATTTGAACAACTTTGATGATATTTCCACTATAAAAGTAAAATTAGAATATGCAATTAGTATAAATAAATAAAATTTTTAAAAAAAGTAATATTGATTATCATACTTCATTTAAAAATTCATCTAAATTTTCATTCAAATTATTGAGACATTTAAGAACTACTTCTTTATTTTGATTCATATTTAACCAAATAGCTTTATATATAGTACTAAACCCTCCTCTATCAAGATATATAACATTTGTAAATTTGTCATAAGGAATCCATTTTAATCTTCTTTCAGAAATAAATTTATCTAAAATTGTATTTCCACTTTTTCCAAATCTATAATATTAAATAATTAAAATTACGATAAAATTATTTTAAAATATAAAATTAAAAAGAACAATTTAATACTCACTCTAGATTTTAATCAGGAATATAATAAAATAAAAAAACTTAGTAGTTATTAAATATATATAAAAACCTATAACTTACCAACTAAAACATCAAATATTTGTTAAAAAAAGTAGTTAGTTAATTAAAACTTGAATTAATACTACATAAATGCAATAATAAAAAAAATAACTTACAAGAATCTAAAGTAAATCAAATTTTTAAATAAAGAATTTAGTTAGTTTTAGTTGTACATAAAATATAAATGTTATAAATATGTAATAATAAAATTAAATAAATAACTTACAATCTATATTATTTGAAATGAGTTTTAATAAAGAATTAGTTAATCTTATTTATATAATAATAGAATTAAAAATAACTTACTTGCTATATAAGATATTATGAAATAAGTTTAATAAATAGTTGGCTTAAATTATATACAATTATGTAATAATAGTAGAATTAAATAAATAACTTACCACCTAAAAGAAATTACAAAATAATTTTTTAAATAAATAATTTAGTTAATTTAAATTATATGCAAATATTTATATAATTATGTAATAATAATAGAATTAAATAAATAAATAACTTACCACCTAAAAGAAATTACAAAATAATTTTTTAAATAAAGAATTTGGTTAATTTAAATTATATGCAAATATTTATATAATTATGTAATAATAGAATTAAATTGAATAAATAACTTACGAGCTATATTATTAGATAATTTTTAAATAAAAAATTTAGTTGGTTTAAATTATATGTAAATATTGTGCAATTATGTAATAATATAATTAAATAAATAAATAATATACCATCTAAAAGATCTGAAATTACAAAATGATTTTTGAGTTAAGAATTTAGTTAGTTTAAATTACACATAAATATTATAATTATATAATAATAGAAATAACTTATAACTTACTAACTAAAGAAATTACGAAATAATTAATTAAATAAAGAATTTAGTTAGTCTAAATTATATAATTACAGTATGTAATAGAATCAAAAAATAACTTACTTGCTGTATTATGAAATAAGTTTTAATAAAGAATTTAATAGTTTAAATTACATGCAAATATTATACAATTATGTAATAATAGAATCAAAAAATAACTTGCTGTATTATGAAATAAGTTTTAATAAAGAATTTAGTTAGTTTAAATTACATGCAAATATTATACAATTATGTAATAATAGAATCAAAAAATAACTTACTTGCTATATTATGTAATAAGTTTTAATAAATAATCAGTTAGTCTAAATTATAT